GGGAAGATTTACAAACAGGCACAACATGAACGGTTTCTTTTCATCAGTCTTTAATACTACAAACGCAATAACACTAGATCATAAAAGATATCCGTACATAAAACAACATTTTAAGGTCAATGCATAACACCGACAAGACGCTGCCATTGTTTTTATCCACTGACTACTAGACAAAACAGGAGGCCGTAGATAAAAGATTCGTCATTGAAAGTAAACAAGCTACATTCCTTCGCCGCTTGATCTCTTATTTATTCTTTCGCCTGTACGTAAAGATTTTTCGTGATGATTACCTTGCTTGGTGCCGGGTATCACGGGATCTTATGAACAAAAGTGATGCTATCGCACGTAGGGTTCAGACCAAACCATTTCCTAGTGACAACGCCTTGACATCACTGAGTTACTAGGCCGTGTTATTTCCGTCTTTTTCTTTTTCATACCCATAGCACCTCAACAACGTTTTCTTCCGTTATCTTGGAGGTCTTGGATTTTAAACCAAGGCAGGGAATAAGGCCCAAACCGCATCAGTATATTAGCTGACCTGTCTACGTTCGACCGCAGACTGGTTTGCCGTTATGAATACTATCGTCTGCAATGCCTCATATCCATAACCAGCTAACTTTTCAGTTCAATCGCGGTTTGAAGATAACTGACACATTCACAGATTACCTATTTCGTATCTGCTGACGCAAGGCGACCCAAAATCCTTCGAAAAGAGCTCAGAGCAGAAAGTGAACAAGCACATTGTATTCTTACAGCCATAACAAATGATGACAATACGGGTCCAAACAAAGACTCCTTATAAATGACGACACCGCTAGCTTTGTTCCACAAAAATATCTGTCTACGACTGTGAATAAACAAAGATTCTAAATCATAAAAGGAGCTAGGGGCTAAGGGCACGCAGTAGAGATCACTAGGCGTGACTGACGGGTTCCAACTAGCCGCGCCCGCGGGAACGATACCTAAGGTTCAACAAACAACATGGCGGATGACCAAGCATAGGAAAATGAATTAAAATTCACTTGTTCTTCTTTTGATTCAGTCTTTGAATCACCACAAGTCGTTGAATACTGCTCTTCTGTGATTAAAGTGTCCAGAGTTGAATAATTTGGGACGGTCTTAAGTTTGAGAAAATTACCCGTCGTGTCTACATAGTCTCCGTAAATTAACCTTCAGTTTAATCACTTGACGTTGCTGCTTTGCAGCGAATTGCAGAAAACTGTACCAAACATTACTAATGAGCGAACAGAAGGATTGTTTCCTCTTCGATTACTGGAGTTACTGTCGTCAGTACTATTTTTGGAGAGTCTGTAGAAAGAACGCTTGAGTGAAAACCGTGGGAATTACTACTTCATTAGAGATTTCACATTAAGACGACTTCCGGTTAGTTCAAGAGGCCTCAACAGTCGGCGTGCACACCAGTATACCTCTTCCTCAGTCCTTTTTGCAACACGATAGCGAAATGAAGAACCAAATGCTAGCCTTTCTAAAACACGCCGTGTAACACGATGGAGAAGTAGCAGAACTAAATACCATCTCGATTAAAATGCAAATCAGGAAGCGATGATGCAAGAAACTCATCCATGTTTACTTTGCAGGATTTTCAGCCTCAACACTCTTAAAACAAGATCGACAATATACACTGAAGTCTCCCGATAATCATACTCCAAGGCAAGATCTACAAAAGTAGAGTCCTGAATCGAGGCATCTTCACAGTGCATGACAAAGCTTACCATGGTAGAAAAATATACCCTACATGTTAAACATCGGTAGAACAAAAATAATACCTAACAATGAAGTACAACCATGCAGGACAGACTTGAGGGTGTGTTTAATTTCTGCATGGAGAAATTTATCACTGGTGTTTACTTTACATTTTTTTGGCCACTTTAGTTTTTGTTTTTTTTATGGCAAGCAAATCACATGCAATTCAGTTTTCCTTTTCTTCGCTAGAGCTTCAATTTAGTTACTTAGTCGGATGTAGCCTTCCTAATAAAGGGGTCAGCACGAAATATTCACATCGAAAAGACTATGTTGGTGTTGAAGAATTATTATAACACTGTTCCGCAAGCGTTAACACTATGGAGGTGACATGGTCCACTGACGGTAAAACTGTTAAATGTACTTAACTGATATTTGACCACCGAGGCCTTCTTTAACAGAAATGTAATCTGGACAACTTAAATCAGACCTCGGGACTATAACAGAACAACGTGAAACAGCTGTTTAATGAGGCAAGGCTTTTAACCTTACCGAAACAGACCAAATTTTAGTTCAGGTGAAAACTGCCCACTAAAGGATGGTGAAACCCGTAAACGTTTTCTACAGGTTGGTAAAAAAACTAAACCATGTACAGCACAGTGAACAGCAAGTGTCGCACATAATAAACACGGCTCAATATTCCCCACTGATCTCTCTTTCCAAAACACAAGCTTTTAGCCATTTACTAAACTGATAAAAGCAGGCTGGACTCCATGAACTCAATGAAAAAGTACTCCCTCTGTTTTTCAAGAAATAAAAAAGGCTTCGGAAACCAAAGGTTTGCCAACTATTACACAGGACTGGTGGCCTGTCATGAGAATTCCTTTTCGAAAACGCTGCCGATAAAAAAAGGAATGGCTGAAATCATCTGTACTTGTACCAACACTAATCGCCTGTCGTGTGTGTACATGTAGAATGGCATATTTCTCCTTTGAAACCGTCCAAAAAAACAAGCAGTGACATAGAAAAGAATCCACAAAGAGTATTCGCTTGATTCCATCGTGGGAACTCACACTGATTCAGTCCTAAGAATCTGTTAACCACAAACTGATATGTCCAGTCCATGCCGGATTGGCCTATCAGTAAAGTCTGCCGCCTTCCCACCGGTCAAGAGCTTTGTTTATAGCCTTGTTTATAGCCGTTCGTGGCTCAATTAACCCTTTGCCCGCCCTTTTCTCTCTTTCTAAAGAACAACAATCCAGTTAACGAGCGCAGACTTAAAGTTTAGATATTACTGTTGCTTATATTTTTCTCAGAAAGGCAACTGAAAGCTGATACTAATGATACACTTTCCAAAAACTATTGTCACTACAATACAGCCGTTCAAAACAAACAACATATTAAAAAGGAAGAAGAACAATGGTTTTCTCGTAAGTCAAGGCACTCGACGAAAATCTAGCAAGCTAGAACCATGTAGCTTGACTCAGGCACGGAAAAGGCCGTTGTTAAGCGTTCTTGGTTCTTTACACACAACGCGTGGTGACAGCTTAAATGATTAACAAGAATGATACGTAGATTTCCCCGGTAGCGAAAATATGACCTAACACTTTCAGGAATCAACTAATCGCTTTTTATTTTAATGGTCACTTTGAAAAAAGAGACGTATTTTAAAAGACGCTTCTCATGGAATAAATCTGCCAGTTTTTATATGCACGCCTTTTAAGGTGCCACAAGAAACACATAGTTAACCTTTTATCTCCCAATTCTGAACAGAGCCAAAATTAAATTGTTTTATATCCAAGGGTGGTTAACACTACTAGGACGTTGATAAAAAAGAGATAGCCGAAATGTCATGTAAAATACGATACAAATAAATAGTACCGTGTGAAAGCGTAGCTAGCTGGATCGGTTTCTTCATAATTATCACGCTATAGAATTTCATCTACTGACTCGGAAGTTAAAACACGCGGATGTATTATATCTGTGAAAGGGTTTTAAAATCGCACAGAATTCCAAAAAATTCACCCCTTGGGAATATGAAATAACAAACAGCAGCACCACAGGAAAGAAAAGCCCAATAGCGTCACACTTGAAGGATTTTATTCGCAAACTCTGAAGTGAGAACGTACATTGCATGACTCTGGGTGAAAATAATCAGGGTACGCGCGTGCGACAGGAAGTGGGCGTGATAGAGATAAAAGGCTTTCGAGGTGTCACGAGCATCGACTTAAACTTAGCCCTGCTTTTTAGCCTCCTGTCTGTTAGTTTTACAAACCAACGGCCATCTCTGCTTCTTTCCAATAACACGCCTGGTGGTTCCATTTTACTCGGCGAACCACGTTGTTTGAATTTGTAATGCTGTTTTAAGGTTGTGTGACATAAAGCTCTTGTCACAGGCGAATGTTTGGCGTGCAATATATGGTGGAGTGTCGATGTTGACGTTACATGTTTGTACGTCGAAGTAACAACAATTGCATTTTCTCAGTTTTTCTGACAATTCAAAACACTATACTATTCAAGTGGAATAAAATAAATTTCACAACAATATATTACGTTAAGACAAATATGGGATCGATATCCTTGGTACCTGTTTTGTAAATTTAAATTGGTCTCTCTCAGTTTAGGTTTTCCAAACAAAATGAAATTCAGTATTCGCATCCAAGATCACCTTTCGTGTCGAATTATCCGATACAAAGTAAACAAACAATTCTTAAAATTCTGTTCCCCTCATGAACATGTAAATTCAGATATTACAATTTTAATTTTGGGCTACATATGCGCAGGTGTCAAACTCCAGAATGGGCCAACTTTAGTCATGTGCTCTAGAATGCAGCCAACATGGAGAGGCTCGAATAATTGCAGGCTTTGTTCTTGTGCTTCGCTCGATCGAGTCTCAAAACGAAAAATTTGCAAGAGAAAGAGCCAAATCCTTAGTCTGTTGCGATAATTTATTCGTCTTTGGAAGCGAATCAGCTGTCAAATTGATTGGCAGTTTTTGGAGAGTATCATCTGCGCGGTCCAATGAAAGGCTCAGTGAGCCAACAGGCATGGTGAGGGACAAAGAGGGAAGGCGGGACACCTTCAAACATGTGTCACTTCTATGATGGCTTCTAACGGCGTCGCGAGACTAATTTTCGTGGACCAATCACGGACGACCACAGCTCACAATCAATCAAGAGCATAGGTGCCAGTTCCAAATGGCGCCAAATAACCACCCATCACGAACCAATCCGAATATAATATCCACGTGTCCGTAGTGGCGGTCGGCCTGTCTTGTTTAGTTTGTAGTTGTAGGAAAAATGGAGGCGGATAGCCAACAGCCCTCTGGAGCCTCCAAAGTCGACCTCCAGAATGATCCAGGGTAAGTTTTTCGCTGCGAAAAGGCGAATTTCAGCAAGATGATTCTTGTTTCGCTCGCAAGAAATGATGGTGTGACTAGACCTGTTAGCAAATTTCTTGTGGGCATAAATTTTCAAATGGCTTTTGTACGTTGTTCTCCCCTTCCTAACAGGAAGATGTTCGTCGGAGGCTTGAGTTGGGAAACGACCGCAGGTAAAGTATTTTGCTGTTTCAGTTTTAACAACAGTGCACGCTAGTGCTATCGCTGAACAGATCGTTCCCCTAAATTCAGCAATCGAGTCGTGTTTTTTTGCGGCCACAAATGAACTGAGACGAGTCACGTTTGAAACAATCGCTTGTGGTTAATTCCGTAACGGTATAATTTTGCCGTCTGTTTTAGAGGGACTGCAGGCGTACTTTAGCAAGTATGGGGACTTGAAGGAGTGCTTAGTCATGAGGGATCCAAACACCAAACAGTCAAGGTAAATGACAAGACAGCTACCGACCGGGGCTTCTTATTCTCCACCTTAGACGCCGAGCGCCATCATCTATGTTTTGTAAATGGCATGTCTGAAAAATATGCAATATGCAACATAATAGAGGTAGCACTTTCTGTTTTTGTATTCTTGTTCCAGGGGCTTTGGATTTGTGACTTTCGAGGATCCAGCCTCGGTAGACTCGGTACTTAAAGCAGGTCCACACGATCTCGACCACAAAAAGGTTAGTAGCGAGAATTTTGTCACTATTTTCTAGCGCAGCGCTGCATAGAAATGGATTCGATCAAGATTAATTTTCACGCTTCATCTGCACGCGTCTGGCGGTGCCTCTAATGATGTAGTCACAGAGAACGCTCCTACCATCGATTGCATTATTTTGGTAAGATTCCAAAATAATTTTTAGAGTTCAGTGCAGAGGATTTTCCCTGAACTAGGGGTGTTTTTTCGCTTAACGCAACTTTCGTGTCTAAGGGAAATTTAATTCACACGACGAAGCTATTGTGATGTTAAGAAGTGTACTCATAGGCTACTGGCCGCTACTGAGAGATAGCTTAACCAACTGCAGGCTGACACCTTGTACATTTTTCTTATCATTCAATGCAGATAGATCCTAAAATTGCAGTACCTAAAAGACCTCAACCGAAGGTAAGAACTGCCTCATTTGATTGCGTTAAATTTAGCGTGCAAGAGTGTTGAACATCATGTCGTGTTCTGCAGCTCGATCAAAAGATCAGGAATTTGCAAATTGCTTGCTTGACAACAACGCCAAAGCGACTTTCGATTTGAACGAACCAGCCTATTTTAAAAGATGCCATTCAAGTGTCGAGACCTCAAGTAACGTATCAGGGCTTCACGCTGTTAAGGCGAGTATTTTGAGTGTAATTTGCAAAGCGTTAGCCATTTCAAGGCCGCACCAAAAGAAAATTTAGCATCTTGTGCGAGTGAAGCGAGGTTCCATTTCAAGCCAAAGGGGGCGAAGTCTTAAGGTCCGAAGACCCCAATTCGATCACAATATTTGACATCTGCAGAGATTCAATGCTAGCGGTTCAAAACAACATTGTTGGGTTAATTGCTGCTCCAAGTTGTTTGTCTCGTCAGAACGCCCACTCTAAAACAAATTCAACGAGCGAAGGAAGCAGCTACACACGCTAGCCTCCTATGGAGCAAACGCTTAAGAGGTGAGCGGAATATCCGTGCATACACGCGATACTTTAGGGGTTTTCCCAAAACGACGTTTTCGACCAACAACTTTTTGTGTAAGGCCGAATGTTTCTTGACTGACTTTTTCTCAGTAAAATTGAATAATTATAGGTTCTTCTACTTCATTTTAATATGGGCGACAAAAGAACTGACTTGTAGCAGTACCGACACGCTCCCCTTAAGCATATAGTTTTGCTTACTTTGTACTGCCGGATGACTAAACAAAGTCATAAGCCTTGTAACGCTTTACCCTGAGCGTCTTATGTATAAACCAGAGTATTTTAACATACCAACATACAGTAAACCGGTTTCGCAATTTATTTCATGTTAAACAAACAACTTTTAGCGGCTGTGCCTTGTCTATGATTATTCCGTACCGTCGCTCGCTTCCGCGAGAGACGGGTGTACTTGTCTCGGGTCAAAACAAGCAACTTTAAAAGTGTTTTCTTTTTGTATCGCTTCAGAGGATACTATAAATTATTGCTTCCTGCCAAACCACGTCTTCAGCGCCTACACTGCAGGTTGAAGAGGTGAAATTCACTAGAAAACACACTTTAAGGTCTTGCCACCCGAAGTTTCGTCTACGACTGAATTTTCCTGTCCCTTTTTTTATTTTAATTGCGAGAAATCATTTTTAAACTTCGGTTATCCGTATTTGATAACGTATCGCCGCAATTCTGGTTTTGTTTTTACCCCGGGAATTGAAATAATATTGCTCCAGTCGTATGAAAGCGATCATCAGTCGAGATGTGACCCCGGTGTCACACAAGGGTAGACGGGCAAGTTTCTATTACAGCGTAGAATCTCGCGTCCGTTTAACCCTCCAAAAGCGATAGAAAAGCAAGTTGATCATTTTGTGACCCAAATTCAATGACTGCTTTGCTTTTGCCGTGCCTTCGACAGTCCTTTTCACACCTGTTTGAGGCGAAAGTTAACAGAATTTACATCTACGCCCAACTTCCTGACTGTGAAACGTACATTGTACCCAACAAGGAAGTATCGATTTCTGAGCGAAAGTGAACCCCGTGGGCCCGCGGATCAAGAGAGCTAGAAAGCTGCAAATTACTTGGAAAGTCTTTTTCATTAGTATTCTGCTGTAGCCGTCAATTTAAAAAACAACTGCAGGATGAATATTCATAATTAGTCACGAGACATATTGGAATGCTCTGTTTTTTATATGTATACCATACATTTGTATAAAATCTTAGCAATAGATGTCGGAGTTTTATAAAGGTAGAATTTTACTACAGTTTGAGACAGACCGGGAGGAAGATTCTGTAGGCAAGGTTCAAGGAAGATTTGGATCTTTTGTATCCCTAATAAATTTTGGCTTATGCAATATCATAACTAAAGGAGAAAGCGTTACAAAGAGAATGGCTCTCTCTTTTCTCGACTGCAGTCGAGTTATTTACGAGATCAGGAGGGAATTAAACCTTATTTCAACGTCACTGTTTTTATATTAGAAGGCAGGTGAATAAATGCCTTATTAATAGAATACTTGTAAAACAAATTGCTAGCAGGGTTATAAACACAAAAACAGTAGATTCCGTTTGCATCAGAAATACAGTAATTTCACTAGTTTCAGTTCTGAAGCAGTTCTTATGCAGACACTTAAACAGTTCACGTTTGATCAACAGCTGTATGACACGTTCCTAGGTAAAATAAAAGACATTTCTTATCTCATATTTTATTAATAAGTCTAGAATAATGGGCCACTGTCACTGTGCAAGATTGACAATTCCAAAACGACCAAGAATGAATGTCTCTTTGACAAGCAGCAGCTATGAAGAGGAGCTTTAACTCGAGAAAACTGCCTTTAAAATCAATATTCTATACATTTCTTTGATGTGTTTAAGGAGTTTTCAGGCACTTGTAAACAGTACTGTGTAGTTGTACACTGAAATAATTTTGCTGTGTGCATCAGACCTCTAAATCAAAACAAGCTTATTTTTATACCTCAACATTTTTATGGTCTTGAGGTTTGTAAGTCTAACTTTAAATAGTGTGAGAACATTGGTGAATAATACCATAAAAGTTTCTGTGATGTTTTACCCATTTAAAAATTCATTATCAACATGTAAATACAGAAGTCAACTTTGGACTGGCGACTTTGCCCTTCTAAAAAGGGACATATCATAACTAAAAATAGATCGATAAATTTCAAGACAATTTAAAAACATCACATGTCTCTCACGAGGAAGCATTTCTAAGAAAAGTAGCAATCATTTTTTAACTTCTTATAATTCTGCACGGATCATTTTCTCTGTTGTAGTGTTCATGTAGATTCATTTGGTAAAAATATTTTGGCCAACATTAACTGTAAGTAAGTTACTGGAACCCGGGATTTGTTTCAGCTTTATTCTCAAGATTAGAATCAAACACATTTTAAATACTGAATACAAATTTCAGCCATTGGTTAACTTCTTGTTATACAGGCTATTTTGTTCAGGGTCTAGTATTTTAGCAGCCTGCGCTCCAAACAGTTGCCACTGGGCTTGTCCAAAGGGGATTACACTCACACAACTTCTGTCATTCCAGGTCTTAATTCTCTACATACTGCAGTTACTAAGAAATATTAAACAACAGTTTTGAATAATAATGTGCCACTATTATTGGATGAAATTTGCCATGAATTATTCACAAATTTGTCATATTATTGTGCAACATAAATTCTTTGTTTAAAAATATATATCCAATATCCAAATTTCAATACATGCAATTTTTATTGAAAATCTGTCAACTGTTTAAGTTCTGCATAAAATATAAAATATAAATATCACAAAGGGGAATACAAACTAATGCAGACATGAAGAAATACATGTTGTTCTTAGCTTACAAGAGTGAATAACATCAATCACACTAATAGTTATTATTATTATTATTATTATTATCAGTATTATTATCACTGTTATTATTATTATTATTATTATTATTATTAAAGGAAGCGTTCCTTTGGGATGATCCAGATCAGGATCAGTGATCTGTGATCACTCGGATCATGGTAGATCAAATGAACCGACGAATCCACTCTGGACAAGGATTTATAGGTTCATTTGATCCATTAGAGCAACATATTACATCTTTTGTAGTAGAAATAGGAATTGGGATAGCCCCGACTGAATGCAATTTTAATTTTCTTTTCTTTTCTTTCCTTTTTCTTCATTTTTGAATAATTCAATCTCAAGCAGCATTTGTAAATTGCCTATACGTAGCGAGATTTACAATATTATACATTCAAAAACACAAAGAAAGTTTCCAAGGGAGCGAGTCAAAACAAAGGAGTAGGGGTTCCCTGCAGATACTCTACTGGCACTCAGAAGTCAAGCACCCTCCTCAGGAACCTGGCCGTTCCTAATAGCGTAGTTTTCTGTAACAGTCCAATAATTCCCCAGTTATTCCATCAACTGTCCAAGTTTCTTAGTAACACTTCCAAGGGCCCCTACAATAACAGCTACCATGTCCATGTTTTCATCATCATCATCATCATCATTATCACCATCATCTTTATTATTATTATCTTCTCCTATGTTGATTAGGAATAGGTCCAAGAAACATTCATAGCTTCTTAAGAATACATTTTTATAAAAAGATTCAGTTTTTTGATGTAACTCCTTTTGTAGATTATTTATATTTCTTGTCTTATTTTCTTCCATTCACTAGTTTTTCTCCATTTTACATAGCTTTCTGTAACATTAGATACAGTATATCTGTCTTTATTTAGTAATCAATAAAGAGTTCATTATTATTAATTATTATTATTTAAAAAAACTTATTATTATTATTATTATTGTTATTATTATTATTAACTGACCTCCGAAGTGCTTATGACTGGTGTAACTCCTGGCTTGTTACTCTGAAGTCTGAAAAGTCCAAGGTCGTACACCTATCGAGATCCAAGGATCCATATCATCATGAGTACTGGTTGTCTGACAAACCCTTATCAGCAGTAGATCACCACAAGCACCTTGGTGTCTGGCTGAAGCTTTCCCTGTCTTGGGATTACCATATAAACTATATCTGTGCTAAAGTTAATAACGTTCTAAGTTTGATAAGGCGAACCTTTGGTCCAAACAATTCTGAAGCAGTCTCGACAGCATATAAGACCTTAGTGTGTCCAATTTTGGAATATGGTTGTCAGGTCTGGAATCCGTATTTAGTGAAGCACATCAAAAAGTATAGAGTCAATACAGAGGCGAGCCACTCGAGTTATTTGCGGATCAGAGAAAGAATATCAGGGAGACTTGGGGTTCTGAAATGGCCTTCACTTGACATAGATCCTCATATGTTTTTTTATTTTAATGTTTTAGCGAAAATGCATAGGAACCATAATTTTAAGATAAGACCTAAGAAGACACGTACACATTATTTTAAATTTTCATTTTTCAATCGCTATATAACAGACTGGAAGAGTACTCCATCGATCATTATGCACGCACCTTCATTAAGCAGTTTTAACTCCTATCTATTGGATCATTTGTGTCAATTTTAAATCAGGTGTAACTCGGTAGTGACAAGTATGTAATTTAATTAGGTTAGTTTTGGGCAGTATTTTAATTTAACTTCTTAATTTTAGTGTCAATTTTAGTATGCAATTTAATTAGGTTAGCTTTGGGCCGCATTTAATTTTTACTTCTTAATTTTTAGTATGTTTAATATTGGAGAATATTCTTTGTATGGGAATTTAGTTTCACCCATTATTCTCCAGTCATGCACTTCTTGTATTTTTTGTAATATTATTTACTTACTTGTGTTAGCATGACAAAGTATTATTAAACTTAAACTTAAACTAGTAAACTGCTCACCATGCTAATGCCCCTAAGCACCTCTCGACAAGAAGAGAGACCATGATGATGCTTGTAATGTTGACAAGACGCCATTACTTCGAGCTGCGATTGTCACCCCCTTCTGATCAGCTGAGCTCAGAGATCAAATAACAAGACGAAACCAATCCCTGAAATAGAAATCCACTTTAAGTGAGAGTGCCTACATAACCTTTTTAAAACTTTATTTTTTTGCAGATGGTAACAAGAACAAAAAAGATTTTTGTTGGTGGTGTATCTGCTTCAACCACAGAAGACGATTTGACAAACTATTTTAAAAAATTTGGCACCGTAAGTACTAGATGCAAAGAAAAAGCAACAATATTTGAAAACAATACTTTAAAAGACTTGTTTGTTGTGATAAGATTCTTTCTAAATGAAGCTGTACTCTCATAGCATCCAATGGCTCCTAGAAACCCTCTTTTGCCTCTGGGCTCCAAGGACATCATAGTTTTGGCCCAAAATGTCAGTGCTGGAGACTGTGAGTACCGTATGAACTCGAATAGACACCGCGGCTTTTATTTCATTTTTCACGATCCAGCTGCGGCGTTTATTCGAGGGCGGAGTCTATTCGGGGGCGGCGTTTATTCAAACTTTACAGCATCACTTTATTCGGTACTAAATATCGTTATTTTTTTTTTTTAATTTTTACTGTAATTTTTAATGATGTACTAGTGAGCAGCACACCGGGGCAACGAAAATTTTCGTGCCCTGGGCGAGCATGGTTTCTTCTTCTTCAAAGTGTAAATGTTCACTGGAAGTGTAAGTATGCTGCTCACTAGTACATCATTAAAAATTAAAAAATTATTTCTTCAAATAAACGCCGCACCGTAGATGCAGCGTCTATTCGGGGGCAGCGTCTATTAATATTTTGAGTCTCAAGTGCGGCGTCTATTCGAGTAAATACGGTATCATATGGTCAAAGTTTGGGACCTCTTACAGAACCAAAGAGTGTGGCTTTCAGATGGTACATACACATTAACTCTGACACGTTTTTGCATACATGTTACGATTCAAATCTCAGGCTAAGATTTTTGGCCACATTACTAACTTGTCTTAAGTTACAGTGCTAGACAGGGCCTTCTAATACACTTGATTTTGTCCCTTTAAGTAACCCTTGACTGGAAAGATGGCACAAAACGGATCTAAAATCCTGGTCAAAACGTTTGGGACACTTTGTCTTTTGTGTCAGGAAAATGCAATTCGAGTTAACCTTCCTCCTCCCTGGACAGTGTTGATGGAACAAGTCAAACACCTTTTACATATCTTGCACATGTTATGGACCTCCAGGATTGCAGCTCTTTCATATAGAGCAATTTTCATATGACCTTGAAATGAAAACAGACAAACAAAACAGAAAAAACAAACAAATGGAAAAGGAGCAATTTGATTGGTTTATCGAAAGGATACAAACGCACATGGCTTTTGTTTCGTCAAGTGAACATTCAGGTGAAAAAATTCCACGCTCGAGAACTTTCTAGAAATCAACCAATACTTCGCTTTGACATCAAACTGCAACATGATTGGCCAATTTAACAATCCCTTCTCCATATAAGGGTTTCCTTTGGCGGGAAAACAAAGAGGCTGTGTTTTGATCTTTTCATCCACTTGCTGATCAAACAAATAACAAACACTTACTGAAACCTTTTTTCAAGGTCATACAAAAATCACTCTAACTGTGTGCACTGCCCACCTTGCATGTAAGATTTCTATCTAAATAATCATGGAAATTTCCAATGAATGACTGACATGTACTTTAAGAGTTTCTGAAACTTTCTTGACATCCATATAAAGTAGTTCTGTAACAAATTCCAGTATCTTTAATTAATCTTTATTCTTTTGCCCTAGGTAACAGAATCCAAGCTAATGTTTGACAAAGTTACTAACAGACATAGAGGTATCAGGTTTTTTGGTTTGTTCAAATACTCATAACATGTTTTAAATCAGATAGCTGTGAATAATTATTTACTGGAAAGGAGAATACACAAAATATGTTGGCAGGGGCTATTCCCCAGCTATTAGAAATGTGAGCCCAGTGGCTACTTTGGTTGAAACAGGAGACATCTGCAGTGCTACTCTCAAGGGGGGAGGGGGGGAGTGGGGAGGAGGGAAGTCAGCAAAGGTTTATACAGGGAGGCCCTGCCCGAGGTCCAACCCCTTACCCCCAAGAACTTTTCCTCGACTTTCTCACACCCATCAAATGCACCTCTTAGCCCTTTTCGGCCTTTTTACAGACTAAAATGACATATTTCCCTACCCTTTCATATACCTGAAGCCTGAAAACAGTACCCCTTTCAGGCAGAGCCTCCCTTATAGGGATTACCCCCCTCCCCACACAAGGTTTCCACTTTGACCAACAGATGTACAATTTTAGGATATTTGCTTGGGACAAGAAGCGAGAAGTTCAAACAAAACTCTTATTCAGAATAACAGAATTTCTGTTGCTAGGACAAAGTGCATTAAATGCTTCTGATGAAAATAACATATTTGTGTGGCATCCCCTTATGATATGTATTGTTAGGGTGTCAAGCGCTTTAGCGGTCCAAAAATATAGTAATATAGGACTTAGCAACCTGAAAATATAGGACAAACCCAACAAAACTGCAAAGAAATAGGACTAATCCAGTAGTAACTTACAGGCCCAACACCAGCTTCTTTATTGACTAGTTATTTTAATATGTTGCCAAAATTGTAGGGCCAACAAAAGAAAGACTCTTTTTCAGTTTCAAAGATATCTTTCAAAATTGCTAGCAGGGTTATAAACACAAAAACAGTAGATTCCGTTTGCATCAGAAATACAGTAATTTCACTAGTTTCAGTTCTGAAGCAGTTCTTATGCAGACACTTAAACAGTTCACGTTTGATCAACAGCTGCATGACACGTTCCTAGGTAAAATAAAAGACATTTTTTATCTCATATTTCATTAATAAGTCTAGAATAATGGGCCACTGTCACTGTGCAAGAATGACAATTTCAAAACGACCAAGAATGAATGTCTCTTTGACAAGCAGCAGCTATGAAGTGGAGCTTTAACTCGAGAAAACTGCCTTTAAAATCAATATTCTATACGTTTCTGTGATGTGTTTAAGGAGTTTTCAGGCACTTGTAAACAGTACTGTGTAGTTGTACACTGAAATAATTTTGCTGTGTGCATCAGACCTCTAAATCACAACAAGCTTATTTTTACACCTCAACATTTTTATGGTCTTGAGGTTTGTAAGTCTAACTTTGAATAGTGTGAGAAGATTGGTGAATAATACCATAAAAGTTCCTGTGATGTTTTACCCATTTAAAAATTCATTTATCAACATGTAAATACAGAAGTCAACTTTGGACTGGCGACTTTGCCCTTCTAAAAAGGGACAGGTCATGACTAAAAATAGACTGATAAATTTCAAGGCAATTTAAAAACATCACATGTCTCTCACGAGGAAGCATTTCT